TTGACCAGAGCTTTTTCTATTAAAAAAAAATATAGATACACGCACATTATATCAAAATATCAGGTCATATATTGATTAATTTTTCAACAAATTTCCTAAAAAAAAAAAGTTATAAAATAACCTCAATAAGTTTGTTCACTTTATACCATATATTGATTAACTTATTTCCCATAGAAACAACCATTAATACCAAAAATAATTCATCCACTATATACCATATATTAATTAATTTACATGATTTGAGTAATTAAGGTATCTTAAAAATATGGCTTAATTACTTCCTTAAATAATGAGCCGCGATTTCTATATGTGATCATTTAAAATATCGCATAAATTATCAAATTAACTTCCCAAAATAGTAAATACTTTTTTTGGAGGGAAATATTTACTATTTAAAAAATAATCAAATTTATATATATATATAGATATAGATATAGATTCCACTATTCTCAATATTATCTAATATAATTAAATAATATCAACCGATCATTTTCACACATCATATCAACTTTAATTTACTATTCACTTCACTTCAACTCTCTCATACTTTTACATTAAATCAACTTTAATTATTTTATTTTAAATATTATTTCAATATAAAATCCAAATCTCACTAACTTAATCATACTACTTTTTTTCAAAATTAACTCTGATTATATATCATTATTTTATTTATTTTATTTTTTAGTATGGATCTTTTTAATTAGTTAGTATCTAGTCCATACGATGCCCGATACATAGATATTAATGCCATCTTCAATCATTTACACTATTATATATAGAGTTTATTCTACTCTAGAGTAGAGAATGCCAAAATATAATTTTCGTCTCCAGTCGTTCACGTTATATTTTACTTTACATGAAATATATTAGTAAAAAACAAAAATTTATATACAACTATAAAATCAAAATTTTAAATTATTTAATAAAATAAATAATTTTATTGACGTATATTCGATCAATATAATATTAGAAATAAAAATCAATAAAAAAACTAAAATCTGAAGAAAAAAATTGTAGCGCGGTAAATAGTACCGCGTTACATGTAGCACAATGTTGTTCATAACTTCATAATAGTGCGAAAATGTAGCGCAGCATTGGAAAAAGTTTTTCGCATTACTCTAGAATAGAATATAAATGTGGCGCAGGGCTGGAGAAGCTCTAAAAGGGGATGCTTGGATATAAATTGTTTGATTTTCTTTGGACTTTTTAATTTCATGTGGTTAATTTTAAAAAAGTGTCATGGTTAGTTATTAGTATGATTTTGATTTTATATTAAAATAATATTTAAAATAAAATAATTAAAGTTGATTTAATGTAAAAGTAGGAGAGAGATTAGGTGAAGTGGTAGTTAGTTAAAATTATGTGAGTGAATGAATAGTGAATTAAAGTTGATGTGTAAGAATGATTAAGTGGTATTATTTAATTATATTGATAATATTGAGAATAGTGGGGTTGAGTTAGATTTGAGTTAAAAAAAAAAATAGTGAGTAGTTAAAAATGATTGGAATTTTTTGGAAACATTTGTATCCAAGCATCCGTTAAATGGTCAAGTTTTCATAGGAATGTCCGTTTAGACCAAAAAATATGATTTGATTATCTATTTTCGCCTGCTTTAATCATTGTTATTTTTTTATCGAACAGTTAAATGTGAGCCTAGTAAGGCTAGCTTGAAAGTTAATTAATATACTGGCCTATTTATCCATTAATATTAATATAAATAATATTTCAATACATATATTTATTTTTCTTTTTTATTGAAACGGTAGAGGTATCTATTAAATCAACAAAAACAAAGTTGATTACAACCATCAACAACTGAAAACCAAAAGACTGAGAGCACACGCATGAAAGCGGCCTAGAATCTCAACAAACCAACTACAAACAAGCAAAACAGCATAAACAAAGAACCCTCCACTGTCAAACTGCCTAGAGGGTCCTAAATAATATTTATTTTTTGATATAGTAAAAATAATAATTTTACTTATTTTTGTTCATCATGTAATTGTTGGGATCTATGAGGATCTCGTTATGTACACATCACGAATTCAATAGCAAATGTAAACATATGCGCAATGAATCTAAAGGTTTGACGTAGAAAACTTACGGCTTAAAATTTTCTGAATCTGTCGAATTTGGGATGACCGTGAACAACACACGAACGGAAGCCGGATCACATGAACGGATCGCGGGGATCGGCCGGTCGTGTATCGCGTCAGCCGGGTCTTGTCGCGTGGATCGCCGGGTTGTATCGCGCCAATCAGATTGCTAGTGGATCTCCGGCTGGTCGGGCGGTGCTCGGCGGTTATCCGGTTGGTCGGGGTCGGCAAATCTTAACCTTCGGGTTGAGATTTGTCGACTTCGGTAGATGATCACGGGTCTCGATTACCTTTGGGATCTTCTACTGCATCACTGACAAGCCTCTTCAACTCGTACTGGTGGAGCAACGAGAAGAAGGTAAAGCTCGAATGAGATCTAGAGACAGAGAGATGAGGGGAGAGAGAGATGAGGGGCGGCGTTTCACATGTGAATAATGATGATGGATCTCTTCTCATGAGCTTAATGATGTATATATAGAGCTACAGTAGGGATCCTTTGGAGATTTGGAATAGAGCTTCTTAAGTAATAGACTAACTGTAGCTATAATGTTTAAGATATAATGTTCATTAATTAATTCGATACTGATAATCAAGAATTATTTATTATATTATTTATTTCACCGAAGCTAGCGCTTGTTCATCATATTATTATTATGTCGGAACTTAATCCACCTACAGGGTTTAGCATAACAATCCTTCATGAACTCACTTCGAAGACATCATCAAACTAAACGTACATGGTGACTGTAAATATCCTAACAACACATCATACATACAACAATATACCCAAGACAGTAGGAATATTAATCCAGCGAACTGAACTTCACCCAAGTGAATCAAAGTAATATGTACTTCATATATATGTTTTTTTAATATCTTACAGGTTAAGAGAACGCAGTAATTAACCGAGGCCTAGTTCATTTACAACGATCAGTACAAAACGAGCTTCTCCTCTTTGAGATCCTGTTCAATACATAAATGTACTAGTGCAACTAATCAGTCAAGATCAACTGTACTGTTTACACTACAACCGTTTGGATGGGATGTTCATTTCCATCTAGGTTGTAAACTACAATTCTTGTTTCGCAAGTGACTGATAGAATGATCTTCTGTTCACCCGACGACTACCCATTCTATCTAAGTGCAAAACAACAGAACATAGAACTTGTTTAATCAAACATGATTCTCACTCATAAACGGCAAAAGTGTAATATCATCCAAAGCCAAGCTTTTAGTATATAACAATAACAATCTCCAACAAATACGTAGAGCTTTCGCTTTAACAAGTATAGTCCTATCAATCTCTTATTCTAAAAGACCTATGTCGATCCTATCACCACATCTGACTCCCATTCCTTCCACGTGTTTGACGAAGACCTTTCCTGACAAACTCTTCGTGAAAGGATCAACTAGGTTGTCCTCTGATGCAATCTTGGCAACATCAACGTCTCCTCTACCAATGATATCTTGTATCAGATGGTATTTTCAGTCTATGTGTTTGCTTGCTATGTGGGCTCGTGGCTCTCTTGAGTTTGCTACTGCTCCACTGTTACCACAGTACACGATGATACAACGTGGCAAACTCGGAATCACTTCTAAATCCACTAAGAAGTTTCTGACCCAAACTGCCTCTTTCGCTGCCTCTGAGGTTGCTATTTACTCGGCTTCTATGGTGGAGTCTGCCATGCATTTTTTCTTAGCACTCCTCCATGAAATGGCTCCACCTCCCAAGGTAAATACATAACCTGAGGTTGACTTACTCTCGTCCCTATCTGACTGGAAATCGGAATCACTGTAACCCAGTGGTAACAAGCTGTCTGCATGGTAAACTAACATGTACTCCTTAGTCCTCTTCAGGTACTTGAGTACATGATCACCGCAGCCCAATGTTTCCATCCCGAATTACTTTAATATCTAGCTACCATGCCAACGGCGTAGCTAATATCTAACCTAGTACACAACATAGCATACATAAGACTTCCTACTGCCAAAGCATAAGGAACTGTCTTCATGTATTCTAGCTCTTGTGACGTCTTAGGCGACATCCTTGGACAGACCTATTGAATGTCTGAAAGGTAACATACCCTACTTGGAATCCTGCATGATGAATCTGGCCAAAACAGTATCTATGTATGTAGACTGGGATAAGCAGATCATTCTCTTCTTACGGTCTCATTCATAAAGGGAAAAGGTGTAATATCATCCAAAATCAAGCTTTTAGTACATAACACTAACAATAATCAACTGTTATTTTATTCTAAAATTTATTGTCTTATATTGTCATTATTATTATTTATATCATTTCTAAAAGTAACATTCCTTTTTATATGATGATAAATATTTAATGTTTATTATTATTATTTATTGGTGTAATTAATTTAAAATTATATAAAAAATTTTAAAATAAAATATTGTGTCAGATACGCATTCTATTAAATATTTAGAATGTATCCTATCTCATAATAATTAAAAGTATGATATATATATATATATACATACATATATATATATATATATAGGGTCACGCTTCGGTGAGAATGGTTCTTAGTGAAAGAAATAAGAATGAATTATAACCTACGTTATCGCTATGTGTCGATATGGTTTAAAGTTCCCTGAAGAATGACCATGTATTGTCCTATGAATAACTGTTCTGGTAGAAGAATCATAATGTTGACAGCCACTGGTCTTTTGTTGAATTTTGAGTGAAAAGTTCGAACTTCGAAATGAATTTTGTAAGACCTTGACTGAGTAATTGTTGTTTTTCTCATTATCTCGTTTTGGTTCTATTTTGATTTAACTTAAATGTGAAATTGTATTTTGGCATTCCCTTTTATGACTTGATAGAGTGATCACAGTGTCACAGCAGCACAAAGCCGACAGTGAGGGAAAAAAGGACGCACCATGAGCAGTTCAAGAGGAAGCTGGAACTCTCGCCGGAACTCCGAGAATAATGGTGCTCCAATGGAGATGACCTGCAATTGTAGAGAAAATGTGTACTTGAAGACCTCTTGGACCCAAAATAATTCGGGAAGAAGATATTGGGCATGCCCTAAATAGGGGGTAATTAAATTGTTTGTTTTTGTTTTTAATTTGCCTAATGTAAATGTAACAAGCATTTGTAACAAAAATTGCAGGGCTTTGGTTATTGCGGATTTTTTATATGCAACGATCCGGAAATTTGCGAAAGAGCAAAGAATATTACACCCGGTTTGCTGGAAAAGTCAAATAAACATCAATATCAAATTGAGCAATACAAGTTGAAGAATGATGAAATGGAAGCTCAGCTCTTGGTGGCAATGAACAAGGTGAATGACATGAACAATGCATTGGTTGTGTGTAAGAATAAGATCAAAAAATTATTGGCTGCTATAATTCTTCTCTCATTGTTGTACCTTGTCAAAATCTGTTAATTTTGTTAGTTTTGTTAATTTTGTGGGTCTCGTAGACAAAACTTTTGTTTGATTTCTTGGTTGATGTTTGATTTTGGGTTGTTTATGTTGGATGAATGTAATTGTAAATCTTCTTTGTTTTGGGGACTTGTCTTAGAACATTGCAATGAACTTTTTGTTTTGTCGTATTTTGTTTGGCAGCCAAGAAATGCTACTTTTTTTTTTTTGCCAGAACGATAGAGATATTATATATATCGCACAAATGTGCACAAAGCAGCCACCAACTGATTACAAACAGCCAACAGCTGAATACAAGCAGCCAATAGCTGAAAAAGTGGGAGGACAGGTCAAAGACCGCCTAGAACCGACCCCAACGGGGTAAACTCAAGACTACTAAAAAACACACAAAACAACAAAAAAGAAAAGACAACAACACAAGACCCCCACAGGGTAATTCTCGAGTGTCGGACCCCCACAGAGTAATGAAAATGACACTCGGGTGTACTGAGGCCAACGGCCCAAACCTAAAACACAAAAACAACACAGACACAGATACAAACAAACACATAAAAAACCAACACTACAAAAACGAAAAACTACTACTACAGTTACTACAACCCTTCCCACAACAGGAAACCTCATCAAACACAACAATGGCGGTCAAGGCCCAGGACCCGATCCAGAAACTGCAAGAGGACGCCTAACTGGGTCAGGTACCATCGGACCGAACCTTGGTCCAAACGAACAACACCATAGGACCCAGAAACCCGCACCTCTGAAGGCCTCCAAGCTGTCCACACCGGTTCGGGCCGAGATGGCAACAACCTAGCCCGAAACCAACATCTCCAGCCAGACTCCTCCTCTCGACGACCTCGAGTGCACCCTCGCAAGCGACCCAGTGCACCAACACCGGCGCGAACGTCGATTGCACCCCCGTAGACCATCCGACCTGAGGAGAGAAGAAAATCCCGAGGCGGCATCTCCGCCCCAATCCATAAATCGGAAAAATTGGGGCCGCAACCACCATCCAGAGAACGCCGGAGGACCGCCGAAGCGAAGATTCCGGGGAAAAAGACAGCTCGCCACACCTTTCCGGCACTAGATACGGTGAAGACCGGAACTCGGAGCGGAGCCACCATCTCCCCGGCGCAGAAGAACCCCTCTTATCGGCCCATCTCTTGAAAGCGGCCACGTCGTCCTGTTGTGTCCCACCGAGTGCCCGACGAGCCCCGCTGGGGAAGGCGATGAAAAACCAGCAAGGAAAGCTGAGGATTTGGGGTTTCGACGATTTGGGATTTTTTAGAGAGAGAAAAGTAGCTCGAGTTCCAAGAAATGCTACTTGTGTAATCAAAATACAATTGAATATCATTACCAACTAATGTGAAATGCCTTTAGTATTATGTTCCCTGTAATTTGTAGAAGGTTATTAGTATGAATGTAGCTTGAGAATTGGATGTGAGTACAATTACATGTGAAAACACTTTTGTATATGTCTAGATTTACATGTTACCAAAATCAAGCCCAATATGAACTATATTCACATCCTAAAAATAGGTTTGTCATTTATCAAACTAAGTGCAAGGGGTCATAAAATATATTCAGATATGTCATTAAAAAATATGACATAATGACACAACATACTTGTCTTTATCTTCTTTAAGTTAAAAAGAATATATTCCAATCCTAGTCCAATTTGTTTTCTTTCCAAACATGCATGGTAGAAAATCCAAGACTTGATCCTTTGAGATGTGTTGGTAGTATCTATAAAAAGTGCACAACTCTTTCATCCAAACTCCACCATACGAAATATACCATCAAAATTAAATTTCTAACTCTTGTCACTTTTGAACTATAGCATGGCTCCAACCAAGAAGCTTAAGGGTGCAATTTCACAAGACAAGGTGTTTTACACCAAAGAGTGGACTAAAGAGGTTGAGAAAGTGTTTGTGGATTTCTTGATAGATCAAAAAAAGAAAGGCTTTTACGAGGTTGGCAGAGTCAACATGCATGCCCTGATGTGTGCATCGAGCATGCTGAACGAGCAGTTCAATAAGAACTTTGACCACAAATTTATCACCAACCGGCTTTGAAAGCTCCGTAAGCGATATCACGTCTTCAAGTGGATGAAAACATTAAGTGGTGTGGTGTACAATCCCAATGGACATATGGTGGAAGCTACTGAACCAACTTGGAACTTCATTGTGCGTGTAAGTGAAAATTTTTTCCTCGAGCAATTTTGTCTTTTCAACGGTAAAATTAAGAAATATCGAAGCCTCACAATTTTTTATTTCACCACAGGAAGAAAAGCTAGGCATGGCTTATATGAAGGGAGGTGAACCACTCTTCCCTGATCTAAAGTCATATTCAACGAAGGTCCGGGAGACGAGAGTGAAAATGATGACCATGAAATAATAGATATTGCCTCGGAGAGTGATGATGGACATAATGAAGATGACGGTGACAATAATAACTCTCCAGATCCCTACTTGCCTCTTGAAAACGAGTCGGACAACACAAACAATTCGTTTTGGAACGAATTGGCATGGTACAACTCCGGCAATGCTAGTGGATCCACCATACCTGACCCCGAGCACCCTCCTAGTAAACAATCAACTATCGAGGATATCTTACGCAAGTGTAACCGACACTGGGCTCATTATGATTGGAGCAACAAAAGCAATCACATCGACAATATCCCGAACAGCTCCACTACATCATCTTCTCCATTTAAGAAATAGTGGAGATGGTATTACCCCCAAGGTGGCGAGCGATATAGGTGAGTAGTCTTTAGTTATTGCATTCAATAATGTTTTCGTGTTCTTTGGTTCTTTGTTCGGGTGTAAGGCTGCAAGTTTGAAGGACGTGGTACGACTAATTACCTCCTTAAATTCCAGCCATTTGTTTCGTATTACTTGAGGTTCCACTTTTGCTGTAACGTGTTTGTTGTGTTTTAATAGATTGTCGTCACGCTTCCTTCGCTATTTCTTATGGTTATTTGTGTTAAATAAGGAAGGGGATATAACTTAAGCAATTGCTATTCTAAGAAACTTGGAATATATTCCATGTAAAATGATAGAGAATCTTAGCTCAAGCAATGAAACAATTGTTGCCCTCACAAAGCAAATGCATGGTACAAAACAGTTTCTTATGCAAAAGATTCTCTATCCTATAGGACTACCAATATGTAGTCTGACAATGGATGAATAATGTCATATGCATGTGACAAAAAGGCAACTGCATGCTAGAAGATATGACATAATGTACAGGAAATAGCAAATCACAANNNAAAAAGACAAAAGACCATCCAAATACCATTGCAGGATTCCACAAAAGACCATCCAAATAGCGAATCACATATCAATTCAAACACCGCATATGAATGTCTAAACTTAAATTCAGCTTCCCAAAAGTCACTCCATCACTACGATATTAATTCAAATACAAAAACCAAATAGAAGGGATCATGTTATCAGTGTTAAACTGAAGTCACTAGTACAGCAGCACACTTCAAAACCAACATAACATAGCTTTAACACTTAAATGTTTCCAGCTAACTTCATACGAACAAATTCAGCGCGTGCCTCGACTCCGAGACATAGAAAAAAATCCAATTCATCTGTGTTTTTCACCAGTATTTTGGAAAAAAGTACCTGCTCTTGAAGGTTCAGACCTTCAATCCCACGAACAACAGAGAACACATCCTTATGAGCACGTGAGACGTCGTAATCGTACCCAAGGCAATTTGCAATGTCCATCAACCTTGCACTTATGTTTTCAGAGAATGATTTCATAATTTCACACAATTGATCACCAAATTCAGTTGACTTGCGCTTACTACCACTACATTTTTTAGTCCCGGCAGATGATTGGGGGTTACTCTCGGATATTGTGTCGTTGAAGTCTTCAAGAGTCTCGTAGTTTATGTCGTTCATGTATTCAGGCTGACTAACTGGACGAGCGGATCCTGACAACTTAACACTGCTAATCGCTTCAATGATGTCCTCAGTCTGTTGTCCCATCGCTCGGTCCTTCCTGAATATCTCAATCCAGTCATAATAAAATGGACAACTTTTGTGACGCATCAGACGTGCATTTCCATCAATCTACAAAGCATCAAATGATAAAATAAAAGAAAACATAATTAGTAGAACTTAATCACACAGAGCCATTTTAAAATGGGCCTACAACTACATAGTAGATAAGATCAATAATAGTAGTCTAACCTTTACATATTTCGCCCAAGCTTCATCAGTTGTTTCAATCATCATTTCGGTTTCGTTCCATCCAATTCCACTTCTAGACAGCATAGTACATAAACTACCATACTCTTTTTTCCAAACATGAATTTTGGAGTTTATGTGTAGCATACCACGCAAATCAGTACCTAGTAGTGCTTTAACCAACTCTTGTTCAAGAACATTCAAAAATCCCATCTTAAAACTATTTTCGAATTTCCTTTCACTTGTAACAATACCTTTCAAAGCTGCAATAAGAATCTCTTCTTCTCAGCAACTCCAACTAGGCCTCCCCTTGTCTGGCTTTGAACGTCTCGGTTTTGGATTGATATTTCTAGATGTATTCATCTTTGCTACGAAAGAACCCAAATAAATAAATAAAAAACATCCAAAATGAGTGCGAGTTAATAAATAAATAAATAACATCCAAAATGAGTGCGAGTTATGAAATTTCAACATGAGAATTTGTTCACCACATACACATCAACATTATGAATAACATTTCAACACTTTAACCAAAATAAGAAGTTTCAGCGGATATTAATAACCCATTCAAGTTTCATACATAATTGTACCATCTTCTATTATCAATTTTTCCAACAAATTTATGAAACTCATCATCCTTAGAACAGCTCAAACTCAAGCGATACATCTCCACTCGTTTAACATCGAATTAGCTAAATTGTCTATCCAATTCGACCATTGATCGGATGTCTCAACTGCATCAATGAAAGACGGGTCTTCATCTGTACCTTCACCGCTTTCTTCATTTCTCCAACCATGCTTTCCATTGGATCCACCGGTAGCTCACGACGAATAAAATTATGAAGAAGGACGCATGCCATGATCAATCTACTTTGAGTTTTAATATCATAAAATGAAGGACTACGAAAAATCGCCCATCCTTTTTTTTTTTTAAATTCCAAAGGATCTTTCAACAACATTCCTTGCTTTCGAATGACACATGTTGAAAAATTCAAAAGAATTTTGTGGTGTTAGTCTCCCTTCCCCCCAATCTTTCAAATGATACCAAACACTCTTGTATGGGGTAAGAAAACCTTCACCGTTTGTATAACCGTTATCACAAAGGTAGTAGTTACCTACACAGAACGTACTTGTTTTATCATTATTGGTATATTAATCCATGGTAGTGAATGACCATTATCTTAATAACATTTTTGCAACTTTATATTACCTGGAGGTATTTTTAACCCGTTGGATCGACTTACAGAATCTTTTAGCACACGACAATCAGTGGCAGAGCCTTCCCACCCACATAGAACGTAGAAAAAATTTAGATTACGGTCCACTACGCCTAGAACATTTACTGCAACTTCACCCTTTCTTGTTCTGTAGCGTGGCTTATCAGTTTCCGCCACTGTCACTTTATTGTAAGTGCCATCTAAAGCACCTAGACACCCCTATGAAATGTGCATCATCATTAAGATTTCCCTACGTTTATTAAAACAGAACAAATATTTTTTTATAAAGAATCTCAAAATAAGATATTACAAAATTACCTTGAATCACCTCCATCTATTGTTATTAAGGCATGACTCATCTACGGGTTCTAGTTTCACTAGAAGCATAGAGTGGAGTCACAAAATCGCACATAAAACCTCATGCACATATATGCTAACAGTATGACTAGACCTTTTAAAATCAAATTTTACAACTTTCATCTTCTTATGGTGAGCTATGATGGATAAAGAGAGTGCCACTTTCTCCGTAAGGGTAACATATTTGGAATTAGATAATCCCCCAACATCACGAAGAATGTAGCAAAGCCTTGAAAACGCTCCCTTAGTCATCCTTAGATTCTCCATACAATCTAATTCAATTAGCGTGACCAAATTGTTTAAATGTTCTATTTGCATAGGAATTCTGGAAGCCATCACATATTTGATTTGTTTAGTTAAAAATTTAGCCCTATTACGTTGTTTGTTAGAGTAGAATACCCGTCGTTCCAATCTGATTGGATATATTTCTACTTATAAAGATAACTTATTGGAAATTATATTATTTTGAGGCATAACTTTATCATATGTTTTTGCATTTATCCTATATTTGCACATATGATATAGTCCTTAGATCATTATTAGCTATGAGGCATGGTTGCGCATATTATGGCAATCATGGAACATGTCTTTAAATTTGTGATCTTAAATAAGTTCCAAGTCGATGGGTGTTTCGAGACAGGACATCGAATAACCCGGTAAGACTTGTGCATATGATGTATGCTCATCGGATGAGAATGTTGCATTCCATCAACATTAGTGTGTGGACGCAAATGCATATATTCGGGTGCTTGTTGGGGAACAAGTTCACTGAACATGACCTGATGAAAATTCTTAACTGGAAGTTTTTAAATGTCGAATAAGAATTTTCATGTTGCAATAGTACATGATTGATCATTTGACTTGAGGCACGATAGTAATCTTGTGCATGTTGTGCTTCACTTTGATTTATTCTTTGATTGTTGGACGATCATAAAAGGGATATTTTGGGTACTGTATCAATATGTATGGAGGTTTATCTGTATCCAACAAAGAATTCGACATTTATATAGATAAGTGAATTTCCTATGTTTTTCATAGTTTGTGATTTAAAAACCTTGGCCAACGCGAGATGAATATGGATTCATAAAGGAATCACTAAACTTGAAATTGAATCATAGTTATTAAATCAATTGAGTTTCTACTTATAAATCCATGCCGAAGATTTAATCAGGAAATTAGTTGTCGAAAGGATTTTACATGTATGCACTTGCAATTGAAAAGGTTTACTCGCTATTTCACTTAACACTAGATAATCATGCTAATTGCTAGGTGTTACCATGATTTGTGAGTTCTTGAAATTAAGGAGTTAATTTCAAGAATATAAATTAATTAGATTAGTTTAAATTACAAACAAGTTGTAAACCCACTACTAGTGTTAATCGTGAACCTAAAAGGGCCACACCAAAGTTTGGATGATGACAATATTTCAATTGGTATTTTCAATAGTTGGATTAATTGACAAGTCTTAAATAAATAATTTAATTATTTAATTAAACTCTAATTTTGATTAGATGTCAATTAAAGGAATAAAATAAATTAATCAATTGGGTTGATTGATTAGGCTTTGGATATTAATTAAGTAATTATTGGAATTACTAAATTAATACTTGTATTTTAA